AATCATGCAAGTATCAAATCTAGAATAATAACAATATTACACACATTATATTTTCCAGCAGTTATACATTTCCACATCTTGTGAACAGGCGAGGTTTGGTCCAGAAGGAGGAGAGAGGCTCTGTTGTTGTGTGTCAAAATGGCCTACTCATTATTATACTAGCGGTACGTATCAGTTGGCATGTCTCAAGGTACTGGTCTAAAGGGAGATCCAATTGCGAAAGTTAATTGAGTTTGCTGGTTTCGTAGAGCAAGCCATCGTATTTTTATATTTACATACACCACTCGCTGTACTATATATATTTATGTGTGTGTGTGTGTTGTGTGTAATATAAATTCCTAGTCAAAATACACTTAAATGCTAACGGTATTTTTTTCATTTTTAATGGCGACGGACTCTATTTTTAAGTCGTGGAATAATCTCAGCCCGTGTCAAGTTGTTTTTCCCGGCTTTCACACGTACAGTTATATAAGTTTTCTGGAGATTTAAAGCGATTGGAATGGCTGACGAGCTACGCCATTTTTCTTGGAGCTCCGCCTCCAGAGACATTATAAAGGACTCGCAAGATATGGCGCTCGTTCTTTAATGTAACGATGCAGTAACTTCCCTACAAAAAGTTATAGTAGTTCTTTTTATTACTTCCGGAGATCTGATTTTTGTAACCGCTATTTCTCTGAATAATATAAATGGATCCTGTTTTTTAAACTATTTCTATAATTTGAGTTACGACTACATCGATGATTCTGCACCATCGATTATTCCGGACAAAAGCTGGTACATCATACACACACACCCACACCCCACACATTATATATATCAGGATGTATTGTGTGTGTGTGTGTGTGTGTGTGTGTTTTTTTTTTTTTTTTTTTTTTTTTTTAAGTTATAACTTTTCACACTAGAAGGTTCACCCTTAAAGTCCGTGAATATTTTGACTAATAATTTCGTTATTTATTTTATTGCTGTAAACTGCGCCTGCAGGCGTCTTATTTACTTTTACTGCATTAATTAAATACTTCTCTTATGCTGGTTAACAGCGGACGCGTCGGGAAATGGAACAGGGAAATTGAGACCTGGTTTAAAATTAATATTGGGACTTTATAATAATAAAAAATTTGTTAGCTATCAGTCTCAATGCCTGTTCGACGAACCGCGTTCTGGAATTTAGCAGAGTTCGAATATCAATATGCATTTCCCTTCAAAAGTCCATGATGATGTTCGAATATTCTATTTACCGCTGATTTTAGTTCTTATTATTTTTAATATGATATTTTTGTTATATTTTATCTAATATGTAATGAGATAGCTACACTTATTTTAATACTATAACTTTTAATTACACCAGATACTTCATCTTTAGCTTTTTCTTTCTAATTTTCTACATCTATTTTTTATTTTGTATTACTTGTATCTTACTATGTGTTTATATTTTTTGCAAGAACGAAGTATCACTACTCGTAGGCTATAGCTTGAAAATTCTTTTAATTTTATTACGTAATATAAGGGCTGATTGTACGAAAAAAAGGGGAAATACATTTATAGCATCTCATGCACAAATTTCACCTTTCGAACGCTACACATTTTTGAGTTATGTGAGATACTACGTACGTCATACAGTGTCCACAAAAGTGATGGACTTGGGCTTTACAAAAAAACTGTAATAAATTAATTTTAAAACTTTAAAAATTTTTATGGGTGTGTTTCATACTTAAATTTAGTACATTATTACATAACATACATTTTCTCAAATTTAAATATATTATAAAATACTTGTTTAGAACGGAGCAAAAATGGCTCACATAGTGCCGGACACCATTAATACACACGTACTACAATAAAAATTTTTTTGGGGTTTTTATTTACTCAAGCATTGCAATATTTATAAATCGTCTGCAGTCTTTCTCTCCAGTTTGTTTTGGAATTTTTGTATTTTTTAGCTCTGTCCCATGAATGCTAACGAAAAAAAATTTGCCTTAAATTCGAAATTATCTTAACTAGAGAAACTTCTGAACTTTAACATCAGTCATTCAACATTTTCGATATCATTAAAATATGAAAGAATCATATGATTCAGATAAAGAACCTGGCCGACTTCAAAGCTATCCAATGGAATAAAGCTATTATTGTTCAAAATTTTTTTTAAAAATTCCAAAATGAGTGCTCCAAGTTATTATATGAACATTATATGGAGTATTGTTATCTAAGACTATTGAAAGTATTCGATCTCTGTATTCACGGTAGAGCACCAGGAAAAATTTCTTCGTAAGTGCAAGAATAAAACTCAGACGTTTTCGCAAAATCCAACATAAATAAAACTCTGATTACTGGAATGAATTATATTTGCTGATAGAGAAATTTAATATATTGTTTCTGACGGTAATCTTGGTGTGGAAAACCCGGGGAATTCGCAAACTAACTTGGTCCACAGTACATGGTGGGAGGATTATGGATGGGGTGTATTCGCCGATTAGTTGGAACTTGTTTTTATTGACAGTATAATGGATCATACAGTTATGACATTTTAAATCAAAATTTGAAATTTCCACGAAATTGATCCTTCATAAGATTTAATTTCTACCGGACAATGACCCCACGCCACGCTTTAACGTTAGACTCTGGCTGCTGTAACTGTCCTAATAATAAAACCCACCATAATCTCCAGACTTAAATCCCATAGAGAATATTTGGCAAGATTGGAATCAAGATCGTTCTTCAAACAAATGAATCATTGTCAAGAAGATGGGGTAAAATCACTCCAAAATCACAAAAATTAGTCGAATCCAGAAATCCACAAATATTAAAACTTTTAAGAGTAAATTTTTGGATAAATTTTGATGGAAAAGTAAGTGTCCCATCACTTAGTGAGCCATTTTTTGCTCCGTTCCTAACAATTGTATTTTTAATAACTTACTATTATGTTATTTAAAATGTTAAAATTAAGTATGAAAACACCCACAAAAAAATTTTTACATGTTTTTTAAATTTATTTTACTACAGTTTCCTTTTGTAAAGCACAAGTGTCCCATCACTTTTGTGAGACACTGTATGTGACGGAAAAAAAACTATTCTGAATCATTTTAAATCCATTCTCGGCTGCTGCATGAGCGTGCATACTGAGGCGCCACATTAATGCACTCTGGAGGCGTCGTGAATACTTTCTGGGGGGACGGGTAATAAGAAAGTATCCAACTTCTATGGTAAAAACTGTTAAGACAAACAAACATACGATATTGAGGATTTTTTTTTTTAATTCTTTTAAGGTCACAAATTCTTCATTGTTTCAAAAACAATTATTTCATACTTCTAATTTTATTATTTCTACAAGCCATGCGCGACTTAGGCTATAATTAGATTTTTAGGTACTTTTCCGTTTTGCCGGCGCAAACGATAAAGTCGCCAATAATGGTACACCTGATGCCGGAATATCTTCGCTGGTAACTTTTCCCTCATTTTCAACAAGTCGCAACTATTTCTTATCAGATTGTTTTCCTCATACTGGCAATAGAATTACAGATTACATAATTTTATGCCTAAGACGATTCGCGGTAATTAATTCAATTAGAATGCAATCACACAACCGCTTACCCGAAAGCGAACATTAGAAAAGCAAAATCAAGAGTTACATTCTCCATTCTAATGAGAATCTAGCGACGTAAAGCACTGGGGTTTTATATAATTTCTGAGTAAGCTTGTACGATTGAATATCTTGCATTAAACTTGCATTCCAAATTAAAAATTTAACTTGAAATCATGTAAATAATTATGAAGAATTAGATTTTTGTAGCGTAGTTTACGTGAGATGAATCACTAGGGGTCACATGGTCAGGATGTTGAACTATGAAGCAGTAAATTTTTTAATATGTCTTTTCACAAATTTATGTCTTATTTTTGGCATTTCATTTTTACATATTAAAACATAAATACGAAATTCTTAGAACTAACATTTGTTAACATTTTTTATGCGTATGCTGTATCTTGTCGCCAACAAAGTCTGCTTGGCGAGATTTGTGCCGGCGAAACGAAAAAGTACCGATTTTTATATAGCACTGTTCTAATCTAGACTTTTTGACACAAAATCGGACGTTTTCTAAAATGACATGCATTTTTTTTTTCCATATTTCGATTCTTCAACTCCAAGTATGCCTAGATATTAAATTTTGCTGAAAAATTTAAAAATATTTGTTGGCGCACTTTTCTCAACTTGCACCAAGAATAATTCATTTGACGAACTTCTTAATTTATAGCAAACTATTTCCCTTTCCTTTTTTTTCCCATTGTCCACGAGCGGAAAACAAGTCATCGTTCATACTTTTAAATAATTTTAACAAAGTGCGTAAACCACATTTGCCGTTGTTATCACTGATAATAAATACGCCCAATTTCAAAACGCGCCAACATGTAAATTCACGTATATCCTAGGAAATTTTGAATAAAAAACTCTAATTTTTTGCTTGTATGCTTAGAAATACAACTACTTTAAGATGATGGCAAAAGGTTTACAGGTCATATTTTTCAAAAATTTATAAAATTTTTTAAATACAAATTTTAAAAATAAATCATAAAAAATGTGCGAATTATATTTGGATTAAGCCTAAATTTTCGAATTCTGGTAGAGAATCAAGTAAGTTTTAATAAAAAAAATATTATAAATATATATCAAATTCCTTACACTGAGGAAGCTAAAATTTGAGAGCTAATTTTTTTATAAAACTACTCCTGCGATGTTTACAAAAATTGGCAGTTTGGCATAATTTGAGTCGTAAAATCAAAATATGGAAACACATTGTCATGTCATTTCAGAAAATGTCCGATTTTGTGTCAAAATACCTATTTTAGAACAATTAAATCGGCATCAAAAAAAGTTTAGAAACACCGGGATTTTTTTTTAATATATATATAATTCCAGTTTTGTTTATTTAATATTTTTACTAAATTTTACAGGAAGTAACTGATCACTGTCACTTTAGTTATCTCAAAGTGGGAACTTTCTCGTAGTAAATAGTCGTATGTGATATTAGAATTTATCATAAATACGCTTGTATCTAATGGCAGCAATTGCAGAGCAGGATCGACACACCTAAACTTCCGTAATGTCAGCTTTCTAAATTGCATGTGAAGAGGGGTAACAAATAACAGTTTTCATCATGGTAATTTAAATCTTTATGAATCTTATTGTTAATTTATATTTGCCAGTTAGAAATTTAGATTATAAGCTATCATTAATATTTAGAAATTTCTTTTAATATGTATTATTTATAAACGTACAGTGCAATGTTTCTCTTTTCGTTTTTTTAAATACATAGATGATTGTTTTGTAATCGGATGACTACCATCAATTTGAAATTTACTTTTAATGTCTTTATAATTAAACCTGCTGTATTTATTTTAGGGTGAAAGCACTGTAACGTTAAGGACAAAAAAATTTATGTCAAATCGATTATTATGTCGGAAACAAATGGTGAGTAATAAAATATCTAGATTGAATTCACATTAATACCTGATTATAGAAACTGTTTAGCTGATGCGTATGCAAATTCCCATATTTTATATTGTTAATTAAATGTTTACTTAAAAGTAAAATACGAATCTGTAACGTGTATGCCAACTCAAGAGTTCCCATATTTTTTTTTTTTTTTTTTTTTTTTCGTAAATTGCAATTTATGCATTACGCTTCTTTCGCACACAAAATTTGTGACTTGTTTACTGCTTCTCATAATGTTGCCAAATCGTGTATGCACTGTATACTAGGATTAAACACTGTTCATCTTAAAATAGTTTTAAAAACTGGATTTGGGGGAGAGGGGCAGTGCAAGCCTATCAGATGCATTCTCAAATTTGTGGTTGATCAAAATTGGGTTGAAAATGAGATAATTTCGTATACTTAGTAAAATTTAGTGCATGGATTTCATTATGCAACATTAATCTCCTAAGTCAAAAGTAGACTATTTTGCTGTTAAGGTCAACTTTTTGTCCTGATCAATAATGGAAAAATAAAGAAAAGTCTTCGTGATATTTTTGTCTTAAACTCAATATTAAAATATGCACTTGTGAAATTTGCCAGTGATTAAAGAAAGTGTGGTAAAATTTCTGCCGGAATGCAATGTTTTTTTTTTTTTTTTTGCAGAATCGCTAAAGGGGCTGTTGATCTATCCGCATTTGATAGATGGTTAGTGCACATTGCTTATTTTGTGCAATTTGATGCTTTTTAAGCAGGAACAGGCCATTGTACATGCAAGCAAGAATGTCATAAAGGAATTTCACGGGTTTTGTGAAAAATGTTTTATTTTTTATGCATTTATAACCCTTATTTATTAATTTAAAATTGTATATTCAATAGCTAAAGTATGTTTCTTTTGGTGTGTGAACAGTATTTACAGACTTATGATAAATTTGATAGTTTTGGAACCTTTTTTTTTTAAAAAAAGTCTAAAAAATTGCTAGTTTTCATAAAGGCGATAGCATTAATGCGTGTGTATCGCAGTTTGCATGTTTCTCTCGGGCATTTTCAATACCGTTTAAAGTATTTGAGTGATTTGTCACAATTTTGTGTAAACATCATATAAATTTTTTACCTCTTTCTTACCGGCAGTTGCATATTTGTAAATCCACATTGGTGTGCCCCAAAACATGTTAAAAGTTGCTAATTATCTATTTTCCCCCATCAACTGTGAAATTTTTTGGATATACTATTCAACTACAGCTAATCCTTCCAGTGGAAGTTTGAGGGAATAGATCATTTTCCATTTATATAGCAGGTTGCTCTTTATTTAATTATATAATCAGCCAGTGCAAGTTACAGATATGGCATATAAAGAAGACTTAAATAAATAATAGTTTGAGCTTTCATATTATCTGGCAAACAAATTCATTAAAACTAATATCGGTAATTTCGTTAACCAAAATTCTCTGATATGTATAATAGCTACAAAATAAATAACAATTAGCATATTTTCTTTTGAAGTAAAAACTAGCTTTCTGAAGATCACAGTTATATAAAACCAGCGCAAAAATGCTTTGAGTGTACTGAATGTCGCATTATCTACTACCGAGGCTAAGTTACGTTTTATTTTTCAGAAAGGATAGATGGAAGAATTTACAAAACAATTGTATTTAATTGTCACACATAAGAAAGTTTTCCAACTCTTACAATTTAAGATTGTACTTCCATCAACTGGATTTATGACGTATTTCTTGTAACTTTCTGTAATACTTCATTGTTTGATTCCAAAAGGGATAATTTTTGACATCTTGAAATCACTTGGGTTTTCTATAGATTACACATAAAAGAAA